ATTTTAAAAAAGAAAAAAAAAGACTCAAGTTTAGGTAGAGACTTTATAAGAAAACCCAAATTTCAAGGGAAATATTACCAAGAATCAACAACAGGGATCTCATTTTATTAAAAAGCTTTTGCACAACAAATCATCATTAGCGTGTAGAGACAACCTATAGTGTGGCAAAAAAAAGTTTTGTCAGCTGTTCCTCAAACAAAGGACAAATGTCTAGAACATACAAAGAACTCAAGAAAATCAGAACTCTCAAATTTAAAGACACTGTTCAAAAGTGGGCATCTGAAAAAAATGGGCATCTGAAATTAATATATACTTTTCAGATGAAGAAGTGCAAATGACATATAAATATATGAAGAAATGTTCAATATTACTGGCTATTTGAGAAATGCAAATATATACGATGCTGAAATTTCATCTCACCACATAAATAATGGCTACCACTAATAACACATGCTGGAGGGGCTGTGGAGAGAAAGGAACCCTATCTCCACTGTTGTGGGAGTGTAAACTGGTGCAACCACTGTGGAAATCAGTGAAGACATTCCTCAAAAAGTTAGGATTGGAGGTTACACTTGACCCAGCTATTCCCCTTCTTGCTACCATCCTAAAAGAATTAGAAACATCATGCCACAGCAATATATGAACACCGATGTTTATAGCGGCACAGTTCGTAATAGCCTAATTTTGGAAATAACCCAAATCCTATCAATTGATGAATGGATAATGAAAATGTAGTTTTTAAAATATTATGGAGTACTACCCAGCCATAAAGAAGAATAAACTTAAGACACTCCTAGGTAAATGGATGTACCTTGAGACCACACTCTTTAAATGAAATAAATTGAACACACATGTGTAAATTCACATTGTTTTCTTTTCACATGTTGTATCATAAACTAGGTAGCTTATAAATAACAAGTTCATTTTTTCACACTATTGGAAACTGGAAAGTCCAATTGATCAATTCACTTGATCATATACCAGTAGATTTGGTATTTTGGTGAGGGTGATTTACAATTCACAGATTGTATATTACAGATCTGCCTTCCCATGGTAGGAGAAGAAAAGGTTCTCTGGAATCTCTTTTATAAGGATGCTAATACCATTCATGAAAGCTCTGTCTAATGAGTTAAGTGCATGTCAATGACCCTCCTCCTGATGTCATCATATTGATAATTACACTTAAGCATATGGATTTTGGAAAGCTATAAGCATTCAGACCATGGAAGTTTTGAGAAGGAGAAATGATAATCAATATTGGTTCCTGCCAAGAAGTCAAGTAAGAAAAGCACTGAAAAAAAATGCTTGTTGAATTTACTAAATGGTAGGCAAAGCTCTAAGTTGGGCTCTATAATGGACTTCACCCTCTCCTGTTGCAGCTCTGTAGAATTCCCTCTCCCTAAATAGATCCTGAAAGACTGACCTCTACCCAGTAGAACGTGGCAAAGGTGATGGTGTCATGGTCCCAAATTGAAATTATCTTAGGTGCTTCTGGCTTCATTAGATGAAAGCATTTTCAGGGTTCTCTCTGAAGAGAGGGAGAGTAAGCAGCCTGTTCAGACTGTTCACACTTCAAGGAGCAGCAGAAGACCTGCAGAACCTAATGGGATCTCTTGCTGGTGGGTCAGCATAAACACGAGGCAGTAAAAATCATATCATCATAAAGAAGTACATTCTGCAGAGGGCTTGCATGAATTTACAAACAGATTCTTCCCTACATGAGTTTTTAATGAGACACCAACCTGGCAAATCTTGGAAGGTGAGAACCCTGAGCTGGACGTCATGCCTGGCATGCTGACCTACAGAAACGGTGAGGCAATCCACGGTGGTTGATTGCTGCTAAGGTTGAAGCTACTAAGTTCACTGTGCATTGCTACATAGTGAGAGAAAATATTAGACCAACACGAAGCGACTGTCAACAGGAATGAATGCTGCATCAGTAGACCGGCTCAGTAGGAGCCAGATTGGGCAGTGCCACTCAGTGAGTGGGAAGCAGCTAAATACGGCAGGCAAACACAGATGGCCCTTCTCGAGATCTACCCAGGACTTGAACTGGAATGTAGGGTTGCAGCTGAGTGGGGCAGTGGTTTGGAGGACAAGGTTTTATTTTGCTTTTCACTTTTAATGAAGAATAACTTAAACATGCTTGAAAGTCAACTTTTTACAAAAGACCAAATTATTTGTACTGGACATTTACTGGGCTGTGTGAAACGCAGCACTGCTAAGTAAAATTAACAGAAAATAGTGAGCTAAGATCTGAGTCTGGGGACCTAAGGCTGATCCTACTATTGAACATACTGTAATAGACAGTAAAAGAAAGCAGTATAAACTGTACTATTTAGCAAAACCTTCCTGCATGAAATTTCTCCAGATGAGGGAAGTTTCTCCTTTCATCTGTAGTGCCCTATAATATAAACCAATTTGCACTACTCCCTTCAATTCTAATTAAAGGAAGCTACTAACATGTGACTTGCTATGATGCTTTTCCACAGGACTTGAGCAGAAGTCCCAGGTTCTGCCCTATATGAATATGTAGAATCAGAGGGAAAGAACTATGCCAGATAAAGGACCATCATGAATTACAACACTACTGCAGCAAAGTCAGCTTTATGGCATTTGTTTATGACCCAAACCTTGCCCTGCATTGTTTTCTCTCTAACAGTTATGATAATTTTTGTGGATTTGCATTTATGCTATCAAAGTCACCCCTTATTATTGTCAAGTAACAGATTACTTTGTGATGACAATGATAAAAAGCAAATAGAGATAGAAAAAGAAACAAAACAAAACTTGCTATGTTCCTATGCTAGGAAAAAATACATCTTCTTTAATTCACAAGACAATCATATAGGCTAGAATCTATCATTATTCTCTTTTTTTTAGGTAAATAAACTGAGTCATATTAAGTAGCTGGTCATATTAAGACATTAAAGACTAAATCCTTTTGTGCATCTCTGAAGTTAATAGTCTTAAGTAGCATTATAGCTGCTTCTAGTATGAAACAGGGGTGGATTTTTCTCAGGAATTAATATAGTTCTGTAAGAGGACAAGAAGTACTGCTCATTATACTAGCAAGAGATAATGAAGCCTTTCAGAGAAAAATAGTACAGCTTTCTGATTTCAGTTGAAGATTTAATATGTAGGCAACAGTTATGTTACTTACCTTCTACATATTAGGTGACCAGATGTATGCTTCTTACAATTAGCCTACAGGAGGTTTTGATGGTGAAATATGTCTATCATCATTAGTATTCTCTTTAGATGGTTTACATCATCAGCACCCAATTGCCTGACTTAGGCTAGTGTTCTTCAAACTTGACCTTGCTCATAATTAATTCCGGGCTTCTTAAAATACAGATTACTGGGCCCTACTCCTAAGAGATTTCACTCAGCAGGAATGCAGCCCTGTAGGCTGCATCTGTAATGAATTCTCTGGGGCCCAGACTGCTTGCTGTCTGGAGGGACTGCTTCAGAGATTCTATCCCATCAAGAAAAGGTAAATATTTTGCCTCTGTGGGTCATTTCATCTGGGGTTTATAAGTAATCAAGATTTGTAGTGTGACAATAACTCTACACCATACCTAAATTCACAGACAGTAGCTATATTTCAAAACAATTTTTTATGAAAATATGTATCATGTTGGAGTTCATCAATAAATGACAGCTGGTCAACTGTTGGTCTATGTAATTCAGTACCAGAGCTCCAACAGAATACTGTGCTTATGCTAAATAGTGACTCTATGAGAACTGCCAGCAGATATATTCACAAAAATACTGTTTTTAAATAAAATCCATAGTACTATGCCAGAATCAAATGTCTGTGTTAAACCAGAAAAGCAAACTCCAATGTTTCTTAGAGCCCAGTGAAACAAAACAAAACTTTTATGCAATGATCATCATATTATAAATGCTTTTTGCTTTAAATAAACATGAAATCTATCTTGATCTCCAAATTTTAGTTTTAATTGGGTAATTTGTACTTGAAAATACAGATTTACCAAATAAAAGAAGAACAACACTAACTGAATGACACAGGTGTTAGCTCAATCAGGTTATCTACACATAACACACAAGACAAAACTAAAAACTTTATCTGCAAAGTGTGTGCCCTGCTATAATGTACTTGGTCTTTACCAAGACCAGTGTACTTAGAAGTAATTTAATATGCCAATATAATTTTAGGAGTCTACTAAACTGCATACTTCAATGAGTCTGCTACATTAGCTTTGTGTGTAAGAACTACAGGTTCCCGTAAAAAGGAAAATTCAGATAATTTTTTTGTCACAGTAGAATGTTATTTAATTCTTTAAAAATAATTAATAATATGCACCATTTTGCCAACCTAAAATGTGAGTATTGTGTCAAGTCTCCAACAATCTACTATATGCTGTAGAATATAAATATTTAAATAAAATCTATAGATAATAACATGTTCTAATATTTAATAATTTGAAGTTAGACTAGCATGACTTTATGCTGTTATTTATACCTGGCATCTATCTTTGAAAACTTATGCTTATATTCGATTAAATCAAAGGCTTTTGATTTTGCAAGCATGTTTATATTTATGCTTTGGTATTTATTCTTTGGAACACAGTTGTTTTCAATGAATCTTTTCTTTTTAAAAACATGTTAAAAAAAGAACTGTGGTCGAATGGAAACTGAAAAGCATCCATTTAAAAATACATTTACAAAGCTTCTTTACACTGGGATTTCTTAGAACCATAGGCATGGTGCACACACAAAACTCACAGCCTCTTCCGTTCAAACCCTCAGCAGGAAGCTTGAATTCACTGACACATCTTATAGTGACAGATGAGTATCTTAGTCTCAACACTTGCACACATGAAAGATATGGTAGTTTGCTTTTTTAAAAAATCACCTTAATGCAACCAATACATAGTGAATGCTTATTTGTTCAGATATGTAACGCCTCCATTTCCCTATGCTACTCACCAAAATCTATCTAGATCACAATTAATCCTATTAAACATACTTACACTCCTCTTCAGGCCTCTTTCTAAGGGCTGCACGAACCTCTTTACAGGGGCTTCTCTGATATTGAGGGGGATTTCTTCCCCTTATTAGGTTCTCCATCCTGAAACAGAAAGTCCAAAGAGTATTTCAGTACAGAACCCTTCATAAATGGTAGGAATTCAGTCTCAGGTACAGTCACAACTACCCACAGAAGCCTGACAGACATCACTGTTCCTATTTATCAAGTGTGGCAAACGGGGAAATGGTAGGGGGTATCAGAGACTATGGACAATTAGCGAATGCATAGCTTTTCCATGACATTGCAAGTTTAGGAAGTTAGAAATATCCTGTGGAAAAAAATCATGCATATTTTTCAATTTGAAATTTTTATGGACTGAATATTTGTGTTCTATCAAAACTGATTTACCAAAGTGCTGACCCCCAAAGCAAAGGTATCTGTAAGTGAGGTCTTCCGGAGGTAAGTAGATTTAGAGGAGGGCTTGAGGGAGACACCATCATGATGGAGTTAGGGACTTATAGGATGAAGGACAAAGACCAAAACTTTTATTCTCCACCACAAGAAGAAAGCCACCTGCAAACCAAGAAGACCTACACAGAAAATGAACTTGCTGGTACTTGGTCATAAACTTCTCAACCCCAAAACTAGGAGACACATGTTTGTTATTTATTTCTTGAGCCTATGACAATTTGTGGTAGCAGCCCAGCCCAAAGAGAAGATACTGACAAATAAATAATTACTTGCAAGTTAGCACATTTATAAAAACATGGCTGTTGTTCAGAAAGTGTATCTTTCAAAAACATTTCACATCTCAGTTTTCAAAAGTACAATTGTTGCTTTTTTCTACACTAATGACTGAATCTGAAGGAGTTTCTAATTCCAGTAACTCTGACCTCTAGAGAAAAAAGGTTTACTGTATACCATGCTTTTCAGTGATTAACGGGTGGTGATGCCAACAGTCAGAAAATGATGAGTCCATCAAATGCAACTTGAGGGACCATCTCAACAGCATACACTTTGCGCTCAGAATCTTCTAGTTTCAATAAAGTTTATACTTTTCACCACTAACGAACACTTTACTGGTTTTTATAATGTAAACAAGAAGCTTGTTGAATGTCCTAGATTTGAAAATTCAAGAAAATAATAATATTTATGATTTTGAAAATATAGCATCTTAATGTCTACATAGTTATCCTAAATCAGAGCCATCACTGGTTTGGGTAGTTGTCCAAGAATGCATGCCACTGAAAACAGCACGGTTACTGGAGATGAGTTGGTGCAGTTTCTCCTGGGATTTGTGGTAAAGAGGTTTTTCTGTGTTTGTGATGTCTAGAAAGGAAAATGTGGTATCATAGAAGCAATTTTTAAAGTGGTGGGAATTGTGAGATAAATAACCTGCTGCCCTGGGTTAGTAACACAATGCTTCTCTTTTGAGACACTAGTACTGGTGCTTAAAAGCCCCCTTCCAAATAAGCTCCATGAAATTAATCCATTAGTATGTAGGGGCTATTTTGTGGTGTGTGTGTGTGTGTGTGTGTGTGCGCGCGCACATGCATGCAAGATAATGTTCCTATGATTGTGCATATAAAATACATGATTTGGCAAGCGTGTTTATATTTACCTATTCTTTGGAACATAGTTATTTTCAAAGAAACTTATTCTTTTTAAAAATATGCTTATAAAAAGAATTGTCTTCCCCTTTCCTAGTCATTTACTTATTTTTTAAACTCTGAGATAGGGTCTTGCTATGTTGCCAAGCTTTACTGTAACTTGCAGTCCTCAGGTCTCAGCCTCTAGAGTAGCTAGGATCACAGCTATAAACTACCCTGCTTACACTAGCCTAAGAAAATGTTTCTTAATATATATCAATAACTTCAATCTTACTTTCACTCCAACCTCATTTTAAGTGGGAAAGATTGTTATTTCTCTTAAGAATATGATAATACAATGAAAAGGAATCAGTTGGGCACCTGAAAAGTTTAAGACATAATCTGCTATACCACTGTATATGTATGGAGGAGGTGGTGATTCCCTGGAGTTTCACCACCAGGAACAAACACATAAACTAAATGATATCAAATTTTCTTGTTTCTGACATTAGTTAATTCAATGCATAATTTTGATTATATGTTTCATCAAATGCATGAATTTCCATGATGTTTTAATAGCAACTTAAGTAAATCTGCAATTATTCACCAGTATTTACAAGCTCAAAAGTTAAAAAAAAAGCACAAAAACTGTACATACAAAAGCCAAACAAAATTGTGTGTCATTTGAAAAATCAATTTTACTATCATTGTTCCACACTGACAGGGAACTACACGTTATTCTTGCTGGAAACCTATTTAAAACTCTCTTCCAGGGTCTATTTTACTTCTGTATCTCTGACTCTTGGATATGGAAAGACAAAAGTAGCCTAGTTCATTTCCACATGGCTGTACTTGAGGGTATATCTGGTGAGAAAGAAGCTTCCAAAGAAACTCTTCCCCTGGAGAGTTTTGCGTAAATGGTCTCTGTTGGTATCCAAGGTTGTCAAGTAGACTTCTGGGCAATCAGTGTATAACTCCCACACAGACAGGCCGCAGATTATGCTATGTTAATGACAAGGCCTGGCGGAAATGGGATGACCTTGCCTCAGGAATCAGACTGCCGGCCTCAAGCTTTCAGACTCTCTCAGACTGGTTTAGTTAAGGTTATTTGAATACTTTGTGCCTTCATTTTCTCATCAGTAAAATGCAGGCAAGATTAACTTGGTCCTGGTTGTGAGGATGGGGCAAGGTAACATGTACAGAGCTTTGCACCATGCCTGTTACCATCCAAGAGCTCAGAACTTGCAGCTATCATGCATCATGATTCACACAAATTAAAATGAATCATGAACTCCCATTTCCTAGCATGTCCAGTATGCTCGGAAAGCTATCAAAACTGGACTTTATTTAGTAAAGAAATTGAACAGTGGGCATTATGGAGAATAATATCTGACCGACAAATCTTTTGGTCATTAGAAAAACATGAAGTCTCCATCACTGTGAATGGCCAATTTCTAGAGATGAAGAAATTGATACAATGTACTTCACTTTTATCAAAAGATTTAAGTGTCTACTAATCATATTCTTCCAAAAATATGTACATGGTTATTCCCATGGGCTAGCTGAAGTGCCACATGTGCTATTGCTTTCAGAGTTTAGATGGTATTTCAGTAGTGAATAGTGACATCTGACCTTAGGAAGAATAATAATAATACCTCCAAGGTATTACAATTTACTGTTTATTGCATTTAATGCTTTCACAGCCTCCTGAAAGACCATTTTAAATATGAGGAAAGTAAGGCTGAGAAATGCCCATGACATTCTCATGGCCATGGAGAATGGCAGGATTGGGACAATTCATCTTTTCTCATTTTCTAATTTCTTCTTAATCCATTAGTTCCATAAATCTGCCACTAAATATTATAATCCCACTGAGACTCTACTGTGGAATATAACTTAAGAGTAGTTAAATTCTCCTTAAGCATAAAATTTAGTGTATACTTATGCATACTTGTATAAAATACCACACACTTTGTTGCTTATTAATCTGTTAACTACATGTTTGGTTTCAAGCATTTTACTAGTGTCCCTGAAAAGTTTGCTACTTCTGGTGACATTTTAAGTTTTCAGAAACCGCTGAAAATTAGGTGAAGCCAGAAAAATTCTCTATAAATTATGTATGTTATATACTAATGGATGAAAATATTAAAAAGATTAAACATTCCTTTTTCTTTGGAATGTTAAATGTTGTGTCCATTGAAAACCATACTTGGAAGCAAGTTAAAGGTTTTACAGAATACAGTTCATGTCCAAGCTGTTATAAACCTCCAAGACTTCTTTTTCTTAAGATTACACATTCGGCTTCAAACTCTTCCTCCAGTGTCATCTATGAGCTACAGTTTGCATTCCATGGTCAAACAGAATGACCACAAATGTAATCTTGGAGCACAGCCAGGATGCTGCAAAGCTCTTCTCACTCCTCTCGAGCTTAACAAGCCACTAGTGAGAGTGTGTTAGCAGTTCCAGCAAGGAGAGATTAAGTGTGATGTCCACAGGCAAAGATAGGTGCTCTAACAGTTCACAGAGGAGCTCAGCTTACATGGTCAACTGCTGAGAAGAAACAAAGGAAGCCAGATGAATATTGAACGGTGCAAAATAGCAATCAGAGTTATGTGCAAAAGGTGTCCACAGCCCTCTTGGTAGTGACTTTCTGATACAGCTAGGATTCCAAATGACCTCAGGAGGTTTGGACAAATCCAGATCCCCCACCCTGGTGCTTAAAGACTGTTGTGCTGAGGTCAAGTCCTGATTGATGTAATTTTAGCATTAATCACATCCTCAGGCTTGCACTTGCCAGATACTGATCTTTGAAAACCACCGCAAATAGAAAATAAACATAGGAGAATGTAAGGAAGGCAAGTTTATGAAATAATTCAGCTGCTGACACAGAGGTGGTGTGAAGGCCCAGGACAGAGTCTGCAGTTAGGATTGGGAACAATCAAAAATGAAGAGTAGCCAACGAAATACAACTGAAGCCTGGCAAAATACTTGATAGTCAGAAGAACCTGGATGTTGTGCATTTGTAAGGGTGATCATATTAATAGTGAAATAATTTCCTCCAACAGAATTTGGCAGATCCAGTCAGTAGAAAGGCTGGTGGTAATCTAGATGGGGTATGGATGATGAATGAGTGTCTGGTTGAAACGGACTTATGCTGGATGGACCAGGAATGACTGGTTCACTAGAGGACAAGATAGCTGCAGTAAGAGAATAAAGCTGTCAGGTGTAAGTATTCAAAAATTCCTATTGTTTGCCAGGTCCTCTGTAAGTTCTTTATGTATACATTTTCTGTCTTACTTTGCCTATTTTTAAGCTGGTGTCAGAGATATTAAGTGATTACCTAACATCTCAGAGAAAGCAAACACAAAAATTAAGATTTAAAACCAGGTTTTGTGTCTCTTGACAATTAATTGACACATAGCTGTGCAAAAGAACTTTTGCATGATGATGAAAACATTCAGTGCCTAAGCTGTTCAGGAGAGTAGCAAAGAGCCACACACTGCTATAGCACAT